AATCCCTGGACCCATCAGCTGTCAAAAAAAGGGGGGGTGTATAAAAGGGGGGATAATTAGGTAGTTAGGAAGATTAAAGGATTTAACAGATGTGACATACTTGGAACAATGCCTGGCATGTAGTAACTGCTCAATAAAAGTAAGCTGTTATTATTGCCTGACACTCTATGCAAGAATTTTTTTTTTTTTTTTTTTTTTTTTGGTGGCTGGACAGTACAGAGATCCAAACCCATGACCTTGGTGTTACAGTCTGTGCAAGAAATTTTGAAAGATAGGTAACCTAGCAGCTATAGAAATTTTATTACTAAAACTGCCTAGTAAGGACCGGCCCATGGCTCACTTGGGAGAGTGTGGTGCTGACAACACCAAGTCAAGGGTTAAGATCCCCTTACCGGTCATCTTTTAAGAAAAATAAAAGTAATAAAACTGCCTATTCGGACAAGTCCTGGATTGGCAGTAGCCTTCCTCACCTCTGTAAGAACCATTCTGTAGCCCTGGAGCAAGATACCCATCTCACATCACCACAAAAGAGAAACCAGGGAGCAAACGGGGCATCAGTGGATTCTGTTTCTCAAAAAGGATCTTATGCCAACTACTCATTTCCAGACTTTCTGACCCAGGAGTAAGGAAACTTTTTTGTGTATGATGAATAAAGAGGTAAGAAAAGGGGACCATTTAGGACTGGGAGGGAAAAAAAGGTCAGATAAAAGGCAATGTAGACGTGTCCATAACGTCCCCTGTACTTTCACAGGGTGCTAAAGGAGAAGGAACCACTAGGTGGCAGCATATGAGCAGGTGAACCAAAGAACCAATTGCCTCCCGTTTTAGGAACCCTTGCACCAATCCCAACCCTTGACAATGGGCATTGTGCCAAAGTATTTAACAGAGGGAGATAATACAAACCCCTCTGTGCCCCACCCATCCTTCCCTGGAGAAGCCCCAGGGACCTAAGTCTGGAAGGCAGTTTGACTAAGAGGGGAGAATACCATTATGCCACTGCTCAGTGACTGACAAGACACCAGAAAAGGGGATACCAGAAGAGGAAGAGCAGGTATCTCGGGCAGGGTGAGAAGGAGGTTGAAAAAGAAACAAGATCAAGGTACTTCTTAACTCCCTGCACAGTTCAACACTCTCTAAATAGCATGGTCATTGGTTTCCAGCATTTAAAACAAAATCCCTTAGTGCAATGGTCTCTTCTATACCTGTTGACCATTTGCCCAACTGCAAAGGTCTGTCAGCTCCCTAGGATAGGCACCACACTCAGACTTCTGGCCCTTCTAGCTGTAAAACTTAGTGGGAAAAGAAATTAGATTGGCCCTAAAAGATATAAATAAATGGACTGATTGGAAATCTGGTCCATAGCTGTTCTGGCTATTTCTGACTTGCTATATACAAGAAAAGATACGGCAAATTTGATCAGTTGATGATACTATCTACAGGCTGAAGGGCATTCTCTGTTAGGGGAAAGTTTTAAGAGAGATCTTTTGGAAGAAGCAGATTCCTATAGACTGTTGGGAACTAAACCTCACCCAGCAAAACTGCTCCCCACTCAGTTTGACAGTCACCATCTTAGCCAACAGCCTCAGATGGCAACTGGCTAATCAGATTACTGCTGCTCCGTTTGACACCACTAACCAAATCCCCACCTCACTGCCTGCCACTAACTGGATAACTGGGGCATTAGACCACTTAACTAACCACATTATGTGTAGGATGGCTTTTTAATTGCCACCAATTGTTCTGGCAAGTGAAACAGGAGAGCGGTAGAGGTAAAAGGCTTTTTTCCTTCCTTGATTTTAGGTAAAGGAGGGAAAATACGAAAGCTAAGATGCTAAATTTAAGAAGAAAATGTACTGTTCCTTTTACAGATAAATAATCATTTACACAGAATTACTGACACCACCGGATAATCTAACCTGGGGCTAGTACAGTTTGGCCTGCATTGTCCAAGCTGACATCTGAAAATACTAAATGCTCTGAAAGCAGTCTTTCAGCTACATTTCATTAAAAATGTTTTTTCAAGTATATTTTCTCTGTCATCCATACAGTAAAATAGCACAGACATTGTTTTGCAATTACCTCAATATTAAACTTTCCCATATGATGGCATGTTATATCTCTTAAAAATCTGTATGTAACTCAAAACCAACTACGTCTTTCCCTCTGGTGAATAAAAATGGGAAAGAGAAGAGAATTCCTATCGTCTCATTCCTGAAACCCAGGTTGATTCCATTTTCAATGAGAGTAATGCCAGAGGTGGGGCCAACCTCCTGTTTGTTTGACCAGGTGCATTCAGGGGGGTTATGGCCATAGATGCTTGAGACAGATACTTTATCTAACCATAATATATAAGGAATAGTCTCGATCCCAAGTTACCATTAACTTTTTCTTTTAGTATGTTAGCTTCCCTAATTGCATCACGTGATGTGTAACCAGTTAGTCTTTGCAAGCGACAAAACTGAAGATCTAAAAGGTTGTGACTACTTGGTCAAAATCACACAAAATCTGCTGTGGAAATTGTCCATCAGCTGCTTTGCTTATTGACTCACTCAAATTCTACTGCAGTTAGACACCTCCAGTGAGACATTTTCAAAATCCACATTTCACGCCAGTCCCTGGCATCACAATAAAACCACAGAGTCCATGCAAAGCTCAAGATAGCGCACATGTGGGAGGAGGGAGCTCCCGCCTTTAAAAACCAGTCGGGGGGGGCCGGCCCGTGGCTCACTCGGCAGAGGGCAG